TCTTCAGCTGCTTCATCAATGACATTGCCTCCATCATAACGTCAGAAGTGGGATGTTCACTGATGATTGCACAACATTCAGCACTACTGGCAACTTCTCAGATACTGAAGCAGTCTGTGTTCAAATGCACCAAAGTTCAGACAGTATCCAGAATTGAGCTATCAACTGGAAAGTAATGAAGGCCATCAGTTTAACTGGGACAAGGTAACCATAGTAGCCCAAGCCAAACACAGACACACACGGGAATTCTTAGAAGCATGGTTCTCCACCCGTAATGAAATCAACAAACACAAAAAAACTGGACCTCATATACAACCCATACAGAATCAAAACCGGAAATGACACTACTCACCATAATGGACCAAACAGCATAAATTCCAAGCGGAGTAGAATAATACTGCTTCATCGGGGGCTCCACTGATGATGTCACCTAGCATGGTGACGAAACGTCTGAACGAGAACAAGACAGCTCGGCAAGCAAGTCAGCAACTTTACCCACAACCCGAGCTGCAGAACTTTGCCAAAACTTTGAACTGGATAGTAACATTCATGACACACAAGTGTCAAGCAATGACCATTTCAATAACAGAGATTCTTACCATTTTCCCTTAATATTTTACCTACATTACAATTCATACATCCCCTAGCACCAACATTCAACGGCTTATCACTGAACACATCCCATTCTGTCCACCATCCTCAGCTCAGAAATCAGGAACACAAAGGAATACTCTCCACTTGCCAGCATGAATGTTAACTTCTACACCTCTCAAAAAGCTCAGCATCATGCAGGACAAGGCAGCCCACTTGACTGGCAACCCATTCACCACCTTTAACATGCACTTCCTTCACCCTCAAAGCACAGTGGCATCAGTGAGAACAATCTACAAGATGTACTGCAGTAAATCACAAAGGCTGCTTTCAACAGTAACTTCCAGGCATGCAATACTTGCTAACTATAGAAGAATTTTTTATAAATTTTTAAAAGATGGTTCAGGAAGACATGACATCAGAAAATGAGATTAGGCTACTTAAAATAGGAAAAATATTAAGGTAATCAAAGATGATAAGACCCCTGGTCTCAATAGATAGCAAATATGAATTTTAGAAGTATCTGGAGAAGAAATGTAGCAGCGCTCTGAAAGCTTGTGATTTCAAATGAACCTGTTGGACTATAACCTGGTGTCATGTGACTTCTGACATCATATTTAAGAAGGAATATAGGAACGATTAAGCAGTCAACTTAAACATTGACGATAGGAAAAATAATGGAATCCCTGCTAAAGAAAAATGCCATAAAGTATCTAAAACAAGATTTCAAAAAGCCAGGACTCTTTCATTCAACCTTACTGAATTCTTTGAAGAGATAACAAAAGGGAGATAGTGGTAATGCAACAAAGGTAATCTATATTACCAATTGCCATCTAAACTGAAAATGCAAATTGACAGATATTTTGTTTACCAAAAATATTAAGGATATGAGGCAATGGTGGGGATACGGGATGAGATTGCTGATCACAGTGGACTCATTAAATGGTGATACACACTTAAGGAACTGAATAGCCTCCACCTGTTCCTGATTACCACACAATTAAGACAAATGAACATGGTCCAAGCATGTGAAGTTGTGGCAAGTAGAAAAAAGGTAGCTATTCAGAATGACAACTGGACTCCC